AAAATTTTTTTTTACTTTATAAGCTAAATATTATTTTTTTAACAAAATAAATCCAAATTTAATGTTAACTCAAAAAATTTTTTTTGGTAGTTTACTCCCTTTCTATTGCAAAGAGCTCATATTATCATGGTTGAATCTACTATTCCTATTAGTACCATATTATCATAAAATTACATTAGCAATTTAATATTTTATTATTAAAATAAAGAAAAGCAGAATTTTTGTTTAAATAAATATATAAAATTAAATAGTTATTTTTAAATGTAATCAAATTAATTTTTAAAATTTTGATTAACTAATATAAATCTAATAAGTAATAAATTGTAATAATGATTAAAGAAAAACTATACTTTGGCTAAATTGTTTAAATTACTATTAATTAAACTTAAATTTCTAATAAATTTAAACAGAAATTACTAATTTGTTAATAAGAATTTTGTTATATGATAAATATAAAAGTAGAATTTTATAAAATTGTCATAATGATATAATGGCAAAAGTAAAATATCATAATATAAAAAGTAGAATATACATTTAACTTATGATATTTGCAAAATAGCTAAATAGCTTATTCTTGCTTCCATTCTTGTAGTTAATAGTATTTCAACTTATTTATAAAAGGTTTGGAATAAATTTAGATTATAAAAAATTATGAATTTTAAATATTTTCGAAATACAGATATAAGAAAATAAACATTCCCAGGTGCTTTTTCTCATGATAATTAATAAACTAATTATTATGAAGACATAATTCAAGATACATTAATAAATTATTATTGTTAAATTAACAAAGACATCAAAGCCTTTATTATTATATTCTAAAACTTAATTTCTTTAAATATGAATCACATTATTATTTATTTACCTCGTTCTATTAATCAAAGGACTGAAGTCCCTAAAAAATGTTTAAAAAATGCCTATTTGAAAAGAAATTTTTCTCCGTAAAACTTTATTTTTTTGCCAAAAAAAAAATTATATAAAGCGCAGGAAAGGTTTCTATCGAAACATTTTTTTTAACTTGCTTTTTCAGTAATAAACTATTTGATAAATAAACATAAATAAATAATCTATAATAATTAATTCGGATTTTTTCCAACTTTTTCACATAAAGCTTTCCAATAAGTCTCATGATGATATTCAAAAAGGTTCGATCCACCATATTCTGATTCCAATTGATTTTCGAGAATAAAATCTGAAGGATTAACCCAACTAGAATCTTGAGTAACTTTACTAGGATTCTTAATATCAACAAACTTAATTTTATTTTTTGTAACAGGATCAATAAAAGGAGAGAGTAATTTAAAGAATCCCCAAAAATACCAAGGAGCTAATTAAAATAATAAAGTTTGATTAATTAAAAAAGGTTAAAAAAAGGAACTGAATAATATTGCGAATTATTTACCATTAATGATCATAGAATATCCCAATCGCTCAGGATAATTACTACTTAAAACGTTCATAAATTCTTTAGCCACTCCCAAACCGGGACTATTTCGAGCGGAACAATTATTAAAGTTAAAATCAACAATAATTACAATGTTCTCTACATTGTCTGGCATAATTTTAATAGCACTTTCAAAATTAAATATAATAAAGCGTAATTGATCAGGACCAGGTGAAGTATTTTCTAATCCAGGTCTCAAATATAGAATTGGTCGTCCATCTTTATCGAATCCATTTAGATGTTGTTTACCAGTAACGGCCTTAGAAATTCAAATTAATTAGTTTGTGCTTGTAAAATAAATCATTGTGAAAGAATCATTTATACCTCAAATTCAACTAATTT